AACCGTTCCTCCGGGGTTTGAAACTCACACCCATGCATGAAGTGTATGCAAACCCCAGCAGGACAAACAATAAATTTACCAGTTTCATCTTCTAACTAACCGCGAGCACAACTGACTAGCTGTAATGCAGGATAACACCAGGCTGAATTTAACTCATTCATTCTAATGAGCCCCTATGTGAGCTAATTAATAAAGTAGTGACTAATGTGTCTCTTCCCATGAGAGGAATACGGGATTGGTCGAAGTATACTCACCCCTACGATTATGAATAGCAGCATGTTCAAATCCGGCACTCTCCCAGTTTATGATTGACAGGATTGACCTTAATGTGTGCCTTGCAAATAGGTCTGGAAAGCGGCCGATATATGTCCACAATTCTACTCACAATGAATTGATGAATCAATTGACTAGTGCTCTTTTGTTGGCCTTCGCACAGTGACCGCGGAGGCTACAAAAGTCCACATTCGTTTTTCAGAGCACATGGTATCAATAAATTGGAAGTGACACCGGACGGTCCTGATTTCGTTGCTTAGACAGGGTAATCATTCACTCCCCGTCTGTCTTCAAACTGAATACAGTTGCCACACTGTTAACGTAATCATAAAATTCTATAAATCCAGAGGTGAATTAGAAAGGCGAACGCCTTTTGATAAATAATCACCATTCTTTGTACAAACTAGAGTGGACGAGAATGCACGGTAATCCAATCTGGTTACAACACTATGGTGAGGAGTGGGGTAGAAAACGGGAAAACATATCCATGGAGTTTGAACGATTGTCCCAAACCGGAACTTGCTGCATCAATTCCTGTATTGACTTGATTGAAAAAATCAATCACGTCTTATGTTTTGCTCCGGTTCGGTTCGATTGACTGTGCACCCATGTGGCCCATTACACAGATGACCTTCGAATGTACATTGCCCATCATCATGCCCCGATTTGGTCCAACGGCATACTTTGTTTGTACTTTGTATGTGTATGACTGATACCATATACCACGGGTTCTTTATATGCGCGTCGCACTAACCACTCGCACCAAAAGCTTCAGCTATCATCCTGACGGAGGGCCGACATACTAAGGGTAGATAAGGAGTGATTAAAATTTACAGTGTTATTCGACCGCTTATCTAAGAACACTGCAACTGAAGTTGGCACCACACTTTGGCTACAACATGACGGTATCCGGCCACACCGCTCTGTGACGTGTCTCACGAGATTTTTGCAACATACTGCTGTCACGATTACCTCCGCTCCACGACAGACTTCTTCCAGGCATTGCATGTGCCATTCGCGCATTGACATCAAGCCAGAAGGGTCACCCATAAGTAATACGTTGTACTGCTCACACATCCTTTGTCTCACTCTTTGTTTGATCACACTTTCTGCGCCTTCAGTTGGGTCAAATATCGCCCGAATAAAAAAACCCAGCGTTTTATGGAAAGGCGGTCAAGGTCAGACACAAGAACCTTTCGTGTCTATCAGTCATTTAACTCACAGGTAAACGTGCTCACCACTCACACACACACACATATACACACGAATATCCCAAACCCGAAACATAGTGTTGTGCCCCCTTTCCGTGATATATGCTATCAGCATACACATGTTGCACAAGACAGTATAGATGCTGTCCCAGTTGTCACGCGGCCGAGCCTAAGTCACGGTCTCTTTCAGTGCTGTGCTGAACATTACAAACGTTCAACTCCCATTCCACGTCGTCCGCTACCACCCCTTTTGTACCGAGAACACTTCATTCATGAGACCATGAACGTTCGTGGTGAGCACTGTTCAGTCAATTGCTCGTTTGCTTGGTCAAGTGAGAAATGTGGTCATCGTGTGAGACCCCACCAAACCCGAAAGTGCTTCTTTTTGTTTCGCATTCAGCCAGGCCTTCGTCGGTTTGCACACGGTGGCATAGCTCTGACTGAATTGTGGATTGCATTGTCCAGTCTGTGTGTGCAAACAAGCAGACAAGACCATCGTCGGTGCAAGTTTCTGTTGAGCATGGGACGGTATTTTCGAGGGCCATAGATCAGTATGCAGGTAGGACGCACATGGATCTGGGTAGACAGAGGTCCCATCGAAAGTTTTCAATCTGTACTGTGCAAGGTACTATCCACATAGCAACATGACATCTTGAATTGATATTCGGACATCTTAAATTCATATTGTGACATCTTAAATTGGATTTCGGACATCTTAAACTGAAAAAGGTATAGTTCATTGGCATCCCGTCTCCTTTATTTGACCTTTATATTTGATCGTGCGATTCATTTGCTTATCGGATTGCTTTGTTCCATAGGATCCGATAAACCGTTCGTGAGTCTTGCANTAAGATGTCACAACATGAATTTAAGACGTCCGAGTATCAATTTAAGATGTCACGTTGCTATGTGGATAGTACCTTGCACAGCACAGAGTGAAAACATAGCCACATGACATTTTAAATTGATACTCGAACATCTTAAATTCATATTGTGACATCTTAAATTGGATTTCGGACATCTTAAACTGAAAAAGGTATAGTTCAATCATTCTGAACTGGCAACAAGTGACATGATCGCTATTGTTGTCGGTTCGCAGCCATGACATTCAGTGTCTCCAACCATGCGGTTTCCGAGTCTTTTGGACCCCAACCCGAAACACGAAAGACACCTACTCTACCTAATCGCTCTGTGCATTTCTTCATGCCTCTTTGGTGACCGCTCCGCAGGTGTTTTGTTCTGGGCCTTGACTGGTATTGTATCTTGTTCTTGTACCGTGGAGACCAGATTGGCCCACAATTTGATTACTGTACCGGACTTGGGGTTCGTATCTACGGGTCACTCAATCACTGAACGACAGTCCGGTACAATTCCTATACTTCTGCTATAAGACGGAAACACAATGAACTTTGAACGAGGGGGCCTAAACTGGGTAATAATGCTGAATGAGCACAAAATTTGGAGTATCAAGCTTGGATTAGCCTATTCAATTGTTCCGAGGCACCAGGTCCTCTTGATGGTCTTGGATATAGGTTTCATCACTTGGGGGATCGTTAATTCCCCACGACGTAATGCGTTCAGATGCGATGGAAATGTTTGTGATGACCAACACTGAGCAGCTGTCTCATCCTGTTTGGTACTCTGGCTCATTTCTCGGTAAAAAATGAGAAATATCACATACTTGTCCGCAGTGTGAAGATATCATACAGTGTATGCTTCAACTGTTTTGTGTTCTTTTTAGTGTGGTACGGAGAGATGTTTCAGGGTTTCATCAAGTCCTCTATTGAAAGATTGAACAATTGGCTCACATAAGACAGAAGGTGAGAGGACACTGCAAGTGCTATTCCAGTCAAAACTTGGGAACCAATAACTTCAACTGATATTCCCTAAGGTGGCTGTTGAGTAACAACATAAGCAGAGGATTTTACGAATGGCTTGGGTTCTGAAGTAGTTGATACACTAATATCAAAACTCGAATTCGATAGTAACAAGTGAAACATAATTCCAATGATTGCAATCGATCCCCGTAGGTGAGGTGGTGCAGTCTATTGGCCATCTTGCTGGCAATTCTTTATGGACGCTCCAGCATCTTTCGATCACGTTCCTGCCATTGGCTCCAGGCTTGAATGGCGTACTCGGTTTACGATCGAATGATAGCAAACTTGGGAACAGTGCGGATTCAAATCGGCCAAAGATGTGCCTAAGCCAGCCAACGTTCTTAGCTGCGGACGAAGCCCTAGCACAGTTGATCGAGCAGCATAAATCTCCTTGAACAAAGATACCTAAGTTCTCCCAACTGAGTTATTTGGCAGTTGTCGGTCTCCGAATAAATACGAGAATCCTGTGGCGTAGGTATATGAAACATTTTGTAAATTCTCGTTCAACATGAACTATTGCTTAGCTGAGTTAAATGCTTCTTACAGTTTGAGCCAGTTTTCGGGTTGTGTTACTGTAATCCAGATTTTGATTTCGTCTGCAAACAGTAATGTCTTGAATCTGAAAGATGATTTATGAACGTGAGAAGATTAAGTACGGACTCTTGTGAAACCTCGAGGGTAACATTGATGGATTCGAATAGGGAGCCAGAAACACAAACTGATATTGTCCGCAGTCGGATAAATACTTTAATCCAATCAAGCATGGGAGCTCGAACGCCGTAATTGAAACAGTATTTACTGGTTTGCCCAACTGAATGTTTCAGGGAAGTTTAAATAAATCACTTTCACCGCGTCCCCTCTGTCAGCTGTTCTAGTACATTCATCTCGAAAAAGATGCAGGATGGCTGGGCAGGATCGTTTATACTGGAACCCATGTTGAACTGTTTTCCATCAGGAAATCCGCAATAAATAACTCCATGAATTTAGATAACACTGGACGAAGGACTACATTTCGGTAGTTAGTGAGGGTACATTTTTCATTTCAATATCTGTAATTTTGAGCCCCAAAATTTACAAGATATTTGGGAATGCCGAAACACTTCAAACAAATTGTGAGTTTCCCTTTTTTCTTTATGATTGAGAGAAAAATCTTGATTTTCATCGGCATAACCCCATGAATGAAATGAAAGAATACAATTTATGATTCAAAATATCAGTTGTACATTCAAGTAATACACAACTATTTTAAACAAACCAAGTGATCCCTATTCCAAATTGGTTTGGTTGTCTGTAAAGCTCAGTTACAACTAAAATCACACGAAGTTAAAAAACGGGAAGTTGTACTAGAATGCACACATGCGATGGAAATGTTAGTTATAACCGACAAGCTTGTTAATCTATAATTGTACTTGGATGCTTTTCTTTTCAGCCCTTGGTTATCAGAGACAATGTTTCTACTTATTTATCGCAAGTGTGATTTACTTGCTATGTCAAAACTCAATTCCAACAAGACACAAACCATTTCAGATAGGGCCTCAATCAGACAGTTTCTCATCTGCAATACTTATTTACTCCAACCCAACAAATATTCCAACAGATAGGATACTTGCGACAACTTCGGTGTCTAATTTTAAAGAATATGGGACTGAAAACGGTACCGATACAACTGACCAATTGCTCCCGACTGCAAATCCTAAACCTCTATGGGAATCAGATCACCACATTACCGGAAGAGCTGAATAAATTGCACAAATTGGAACAACTTTATCTGGATCCGAGACACTTCATCCAGGTTGTCACAAGTCATCGTCAACCGTCCAGACCGTTTGGACCGAATCTGTCTGCCAGATCACCCAATCCTTTCGTTCAATCGATTCCGGATAACATTCGATCGTTGTTGGTGAGTGCCCCCGAGCAAACTGCAGGACAGTCAGACGATTCGGTCAAATTAGATCGGGGAATTCTCGAACAAATCCGAGGACTGTTGAAACAAGGCAAAATGAAATCGCTCCATGTGCCTAATGTGATTTTTCGTCTGAAAAACATTCGTGTAAGTGAATAGCTATGTAGTCCGTTTAACGAAGTGAGGAAAATGCTCTTTATTGATGCTAAACACTTGCATTTTATGATCACTAGAGACTACAGAATGCCGCAAGGATTCCTCGTTAGTTACGTTGATAAAAACTGGTATGAACTATTCATTTTTGTCTTTTATTCTATTCAAAATGTGCAGAATTTGAATCGTAAATTAAAACAGGCTACTTGAACCTATTTTTGCTGTCAAAACCGCAAGATCAAACTGAGTGGAATTAATGTGATTTACATCTTACACCACACCATTAAAGCGAGCGAGATTCTACCCAATCCAAAGAACAGTAACTTTAGCCACCCGATTCAGGGAGATTCGAAAAAAACATGGAAAATATTAAGGTCTAAGACAGTCACCTTATCGATTGATTGTTGCAGACAGGGGTCAAATATCGAAGATTGTTTCAACCGTGTAGCTCAGGGATAAGAGTTTGAAGTCCCAACCCGAATGTTCACGGTTGGAGTCCTGACAGGGACACAAAAATTATGCACTGCAGACGGGTCCCAAACAGAACGAGCCAGCCGTCCAGTACTCTCTGTAGGTCATTACTAGCATTTCAATCGTTTGTAAATGCACTACCTCGTGGGGAATTACCGATCCCCCCCCCAGAAGTGAAACCCTCCCACCCAAGACCATCAAGAGTGCCTGGTGGCTCTGAACAATCGAAAGGGATAATCGAAATTCGATACTCGAAATTGAAGATACGTTTTTTTTAATTTAACCGCAATAGTGCTCTCCTTTTTACTATCGTTATTCGAGGTGTGAAACAGTGCACATTTAAGTAAGAAAATAGGAACCAGTGAGCTTTTATTAGAACTGTATTTTCAGCCTTGATACTAATCCCGTGGAGTTTACGTAGTGCATTAAAACCTGTGACACAAGCCTCCAACGAAGATGCCACGCTACATTCGCTACTTTCCTCAGACACAGCCCCTTTAGTTTTGCTTGGCATTTTGGATCACTTTTCCAAATGTGACGCAGAGTTACCGTGCTACACGAATTGCTCGCAGATCCATAATGAAAATTGGAGAATAAATCGACCATTGATGAACGTGACATCAAAATGAAGGAACAAGGCTACGAAAGAAGAAGTTAGTTTATCAAAGAAATCAAACGGATGAAGCAATATGTACAAGAAAATGTCATTGGCTCAGACTGTGCCAACCAATCAGCTTCCATTTTCTTCCGGTCTTGTTAGTCTCGCATGCACCACAGCAAAAGTGATTGGTCCAACTCGTTAGCTTTCCCCTAATCTACAGGAGAATATAGCACACAACGTTTTGGTAAACATTGTCTGATAGCTTTGCATCATCAACATCTTGTTTAATGCTCTCAAGGAACTGAAAAATCCAATCAGATGGTGTGCTTTTCGTCCTAAAATAAAGAATATTTATCACACGGAAGCATTGAGATACATGTTGACCATGAAAAATAAGGACTAGTGAATAGCAGAAAGTACATCGGTAAGTATGCTTCATTTTGTTGATAAATGGCATCCAGCCTTTCCTGTCTTCAAAGTAATTTTATAAAACTACCAAAAATCATTCACAAAACCGATTTTTACTATAGTTGTTGCAAATGTACTGCAGATGATGATAAATATCCTAATATATACCGGACCAAATGGGACTACAACAATTCATGCGTTTTGATTGTATAGTGTAATCAATTGTAATATATATATATATTTAGACAGAGAAATAGAACGTTGAGGTAACGAAGGTCTTCATTTAAAGGCCAGTGTCCCTCAATAGAACTTTCTCAGTAAAAAAACTATAAACATTTACGAATGCCCTGAAATGCTTTGAAAAAAATAAAGTACCACCCCAAAGAATGCAACTCTTATTGCTGTTTTTATCGATACCCGTGACGTGGGGTAATCCAATGAGCCAATACGCTCAAAGCTGTGCCAACAAAGTAGTCGGCTAATTTTCCAGCGAACGGCCACATTGTTATTTGCGAGTAACACAATGTTTGCCAACATACCATCTATGGTCCGGTGACTTCGCTGCTGTATTGTCGTAAGATTATTTTTAAACATCGACACCACACGGAGGCTACCACAAATAGTGAGTGATTCNAGAGGCACGGGGACTGGGGGGGGGGCGCATATTTTTCACAAATTTAAAAACAAAAACCGCCCCGTTTGACCACCCAGGTAAAAGTGGTGCGCATAAAATTTCCACGAACGTTCTCATTTGGTTTTGGTCAAAATGTCGGACGGGGTGAGGGGGTGCGTGAACCAGCTCAGTTCTGTTTGATCTGAATCGTTCGGGGGGGGGGAGGGGGGAATCACACAAATCATCTGTGTGTGTGTGTGTGCACGCGTGCGAGTGTGTGTGTGTGTGGGTGGGTTCCGGAACACCACCGATTCGCATTCAACACAGTCTTTTGCTTCCGGTCAAACTCCTTGTTACAATGCGAGGGAATATATGCCTATGAACTTTCTGATTTGAACGAACTGCGCACGACCACACGATATCTTACAATTTTCGTTTCGATAAACAAGCTATCGGTTAGTGTTCTCATATAGCAGATGAAGTAGTTATGCTGAGAATTAATCCTGATATTTGAGATTAAGCCACTCATTTAAGTTCATTTAGAACTGCTTGTATTTGATCTATAAATGTATCGATTTAAGTCAACAAATACAGTGTTATCTAGATGAGTATATGTCCAGAAAGTGGCTGAACGAGCTCATTTCGCCCATGAATCTTTCCTAATGAAGTGCGTTTCGTGCGAGAGATTCCGGTTGCGTGACCAAAAGACAGATCTACTGAAATTTTAAAGCGATATCCGTGAAAATTGCAGATAACTTTTATTGCTACAGCAATTGTCTTCAAACTCAAGTGCAATTATTGTGTGACTCCCGTTTTGTTCTATCGCGAAAATGGGCCCAGTTAGCACGCCTGCGTTATCCTTTCTATTCACACTATAGTGAATCACCAAATGAGTTTTGTCGCCATAGCACGTGCACCCCCAGTTTTTGAATCCACCGCGTCAGTGTTCGGACCATTTAAACTGTGGACCAGAATAACCCTTGCAACACCCACTTATCGGCTCCTCGACCACATTCACTCACGTATTATCCTGGACAATAACATCAAAGCCTTCTGTGGTGGTCAGACCGCTGAGTTCATTTGTGCCCGAAGTGAGCATTCACATGCTGAAAAACCGNTCAGCCTACTCGTTGTACACGGTCTCTGTCTGCATATCCGTGTTTAAGTCACTGTTGTCCATGTGTGTGTGTGTACTTCACCTGTTTCAATGAATTTTTCCATTTGTTGATTCTCGGATACAGAGCCCACTGTACGTGAACGATAGCATGAAAAAGTAAAACCAACTGTGACAGTTCAAGATAGGTCTAGGTGCAAAATGATCAGAGAATTTGTTCCCAACCCCTCCCCTGTCCTGTACGAACGAAGCGGAAATCCCATAATAATGAATGCGGGTGAGAAAATAATTTCTCCTGATTCTACATCTATCTCAGTCGAAGTTTCTTCCACTTCAAGTTGATGACGTTTGTTTTTTCCTCGTGATTACGATATTGATTGTTTTATCGAGTTTTCACTTTCGCTCACTTTGATGATTGCGCTCTCCATCACACGGACACGCACACAAAGTCCGCAATCGCTCCAAATTGATAAAATCATTGATAGCTTTCTGTTCATCAGTGATATCGGAAGATCAAATTACTCGCTAAACTTGTTTCGGATGGACAGGAACTGGTATACATGGATACACAAACACGCGGACATGCACAAACAAGTTGATTCCCTCAAAAGAACGAAATATACGCACAGAATCCCTGGAATGAAGCTAATACGAATGACTGGAAACCCACACACATACAGACACACACACACACAGACCTTTGATGAAGAATTCAACGCTAGTCTCCGGTTACCCGGTATTTTGAGGGCTTATTTTGAGCGGTCGTTGTGCGGTGGGGATGTTGTAAAAAATACGTCAGATATGTTGTTCTTAATTTATTTCTACCGTGGTCAAAGTGACACGGGATCGATTTTGATAGTATCGGACAATCCGGTCATCCTCTTTCTTTTTCCTAGTTATGTATATTTTCTGAGCCGAAAGTCACCTTTGGAAATTAAACAACAGGAACATATGATGCATCGGAAAAGATTTATTATTTTAAGTTTACCACAAACAGATTAAAGCCAGGATCATTGTGCGATCCATAAACAGAGACTGGAGACTGGCCTCGTCGTCACACGTCTTCTGATCAGAAAACGGTTATTGAACGAATGCATTCTAATGCAACAATCACATCACATAACCGTGGTTCTGATTATCGGGAAGTCTCTTGCTTTATACAGTTATCCACCCAATACTCCGTTTATGCTTCTCCGCTGGTCCTAAATTGGCATAATACCCAAATGTGAATAACAAGAGGAAACTACTAGTGGTTGCGTCGTTAAGGGTGGCATATTTTGCCGTTTCAAATCTCTACATTCTCGACGCATTCCGTTTTGTCTTCTGGTGTGTTGACTACGATGGAATTCGTGAGCGAGCATTCACAATATACAATATACAATACAAAGTAGATCTGGTCTGAAATATTTTACGCAGCGTGCTTTTCAGTTATTCTAGAGCACTTTCACTATCAATAGTAAATTTAGTAGTGCTATTTATTCAAGTGACTTATTGAACCAATATAAATAGGATGAATGTCTCCTTAGGCTGTATATAAAGGGTCAAGTGATATTATCTTTTAAATTTTTTTTACTTTTCATCAGTTCTTTTTCTCGCATGCTCTAGCAACAGAGACGATTAAGTTACAATCCCTAGGATCTACTACTGATCGGTTAGGGAACCAGACTACTTCAAATATGTGACTTGAAGCAGGAAGGTGAAGTATGGTGCATATTGAGTCAGCAACAATAAAACTCCGCCACGGTAATATCCCTTCGCAGGGCAACGTTGTAGGCCTAAGTTTTGAGGGCATTTGTGTGCGAACTGGTAAAACGCCACCATGATTTAAACCATTTGGCATAAAGCTATATCCGTAAAACCTAATTCTTTGGCCACAATCTGTAATCCCTACGCTTTGACTCACAAGCTATTCAAACATCAGTGAGCTCGGTCAAAAAGTATTGGAATATTCGGGGGTCACTAAATTGTGAAAATTTTATTCTTCACGAATGTTGATGTTTCAAAATGTGCTTAGCAAATTAGCAAATTGTCGATCGCATGCTGCCTAGTGTACCATCGTAATGGCACCAAATGCCGCACCACATATTGATTGGAGAAGGTTTGAACGTTGCGGCTGTATCGCTGTATCGTATGGCTTCATTGTTTTCAATGAACCGGTTTTTATCTTGCTAATTGATAGGGTGAATCAAATGACAGAAAACGCGCTCATGTATTTTAAATTACTCAACACTTTTTCCAGCGGGATTGAAAAGGGTCTCTATGGTGGATGGAAGCAAATTTGGTGGTTCCCATGTAATGGTGTATCCATAGCATTTCGATGAATGGGTCCATTCTTAAAGATAGAAACAACAGGAACACCTGAATGCTCGTGACTAAAGTATCGTGACTTTTGGTTGAAAGATTTTGGGTCGAGGCTCAACAATTACAGATTAACGCTAAAGCTCAATGGCAAAAGATGAACTGATGAGCAAGATCAAGCCGGTAGACCACCCGAATTCTCGTGGATCTGGTAAGAAATTTTAATATCACGAAATCTCTCCTGCATGAAACCAAGCTTATAAGATGCCCAGTGAATGTATATTCACCATCCGCAACGGTGTAAAATTACCACAACTCAGAAATGCTCTGGCGTCGTGCACGTTGAGTGTAGATCAAAACCGATGTGGTGGTTCCATGTGACAGGTCTGCTTCGTTTCGGGTTCAAACCACTACCCTGCAAACCAGTTGTAGATGCAAATTGTCTACGGCCCTGAATGCAACGTGGCATTCTTAATATCAGAATCCTAAATAAAGTACGAACTACATTTTCGGTTGTTTTGTAATGATTATTTCATCACGTAAGTTGTACGCAGTATTACTTGTATCGGTTTAATGTAATGTGCAAGAAGTTATGATCTATTTGTACCGGCAAGTAAATTTAAATAATAAGGAGCACTCATTCACTTTTTATGTGGACTGATTTGGGTTATAATCGCAAGCTTTATTCGCTTTCCAGCACAGAATTTTATTTCGTCCAATAACAGCCTAATGCAATCGGTATTCACATATTTCAATGTGATTATAGCATTGTTCAACTCAAGTGCCTTCAAAACATATCTCAACCAATCTTTCAAATAATATCAATTGCAAGATAATAGTCTCTATTTCAATAGATCACGAATCTCCTCGTTCTAGGTGAAAACGGGAAATTTACAAATTGACTCATTCTAATAAATGAATCCTGTTTCATGGGAGGCTTCGTTACTTTACAGCTAATGAACCACTAACGTTATCGAAGTTCAGAAGTCCTACACTTAATGGTATTCGACCAATAGAAACAAAACATGCGCGGATATTAGAACGGATATGTTGCAATATCATATTCCATCGTGAATAAGACTCAGAACACTATGTGTCGGGAGGGGCAAATTCGATCAATACTAGGGTGTCGCATGAGTTTGATCAATACCTGCATATCTTACAATAAGCATCATAAAAACGACTCGACAAAATTTCCTTGGAAGCACACGACCAGGTTCTTGCCGCTCATTAGGTATGCGTATCCGGCAATCTTTTATCAGCTCATTCATACATATATATATATGTGTGTGTATTAAAGAATACATTAACCGACAGTGATGCCATAAACGCCTGAGGAATAAATACTTCGGCGTTTTATACAATGATTCCGTTTATGAATTTCATCATCCAAATAGTTACCTGATTATAATTTTGAGAAAAATCTCTATTTTAGGTCTTCTTTATTAGGATAATAAAAATATTTTGTTCACCTCGGCTCACTTGATATATGTATGCGTAACAAAACGTGCAGTTCATGATCGAGAGGAGATCTGAACAGTGGACCCTTGTGAGTCTACAGATGAGAGAATAGAACACCCATGGAGTGGATTTCAAACATACGAACTATCATCAAAGCTCTGTGTTTCCTCCAGGAACAATCACGAGGACTCTACCCCTATATTGTCATTCTCTCTATTTTTCTTGGCTGTCTAATCGGTGATGCTCGATCCAGTAACTTTTGACTGAGCTTATGCGTCGCGAACGAAAGGCTGCCTACGTACACATCTTCAGCCATCATACCAGCATACAATGCTCATCAACGGACGGAATTCTGGGGTGCATGAGACACAATAAATCGGTTTTTATAGCTGTTTGGATTCTTTTTCAATTTTTAGCTTTAATGGACATACATACTGCAATAACCTGAAACAGAATCAACAAAGAGAAACAAGATGGGTACATTTGGAAATCCACTCACCAACCACCGCATTCCGAAAATGTGCTTCTTCCAAGGAAGTCTTTGTTTTTTAAATGTCGCATTTCGGGTACTATGATATTCAGGGAAGTGTCCTCGAAAAAAGCGTCAACAGACCGTTTTTATCAACTGAAGTTGGTTTAACAATTCTGTTCTATGTTGGTGCAGGGAAGCCGCTTAGGCCACACATTGAATAGGACACAAAGTGGAACAGGGATAGAATGGACATTTTTTCAACTGCATGCAATAAAGGATAGACCGGAAGATCAACTCACTAACATTTGATGAGAATTTCAAAGCTCTATGTGTTTTCCCATTGTGCATGCCATATGTTTTTTCAACTCCCAAAATTCAGCAAATTTTTGGATACTAAATTATTTCGTTCTTTTCCTGCTCAGCTGTTCAAAATTCTACTGTACTCTGGGGACCAAAATGAGCCGAAATTTGTCTAAATTGCCTGGGGCTCAACCGTAATCATCACTCAGTTTCTAGAAATTCTAAAAAGGCTTTTTAATAAATCTGTCAAACTGGATGAGTGAAACGTCATTTCCTAGTTGGATTTGAATTGGTTTGTGAAACGCAGCACGATGTGTGAAACGCTTCTTTTGATGGCCCATTTGTGCGAACCCAATTGAGCAAGCATTAGGTTCGAGCTTCATTGACATTCAAAACTGATGAGTGGGTGACTCCCATGACTGCCTAAAACGGACACTATACTAATGCAGTTATGGAATCACACCTAATGCTCTGATCTTTTCGCATTCCTTCACGCACTCAACTAAGAGAAGCGTACGAACTCTCTACGTTGCATCTAAGCTAAGTTTCACCGCCGATTTTCCCCGGAGTCTCCATAATCCATCAGAGGAACTGTAAGGCAATTGAATTTTACGAAAACTTTCAAATCTGTCACTCAATGAAATTTAAACAATTATTTTTGTGTACTTCAACGATCCTGGAAAATATTTACCATGGAAGTCAGTTTACCACTGACTGACTGTTTCGCTAATTTCGATGCTTAACCAAATAAAGATCATATGTTTTTTATATGGGGAATTCCTCGTGTATAGAACAAATCAAGCGTGAACTAAAAAGCTAAGAGGCTTCATTTGCTCTATGCTTGACAAATTCACACTAGGAAATTGAATCAAATCCTCCAATACGCGCATGCAAATATCAGACTGTTAGGGAGAACCTCATGGACTAGCTGGTATTGCGTACTCTATATACGGCTGCAGATGGGATTTGTAAGTGGATTCCAATCCCTGCAAAACTCGCACCAGATATCAGCAAAATAAGATGATACTTTATCTGTATAGCACAAATATCCCTTACAGAGTCCTATGCTAGAACATCAATAACTCATATATGGATATGGAACTTCATCAATATTTTATCGTCTATATACGAATCTTGAATGTTTGAAAATTCTGATACACTTATACATATGAGTTACTTTAAATTATATACCATAAGTTATATTAAATTAGTAAATCAGATGAAAAATGCCACTTTTTAACTACAAAAACATTTCCACTGCATGATCAAGTGTTGTTTTGTTTGAGTCGTTTTATTGTTCGGTCACACGGTCACATTCTCTTCTGTCCATCTCAACCCACGACCTGCCCCCTCCCTCACTTCCATTGTATTTTATGCACATCATCTACCGAATAGTTTCTTCGTTTGGAACAGTGCTGTATGAACACACTACCCGAAAATTTGACCACCATGAAATGCTTGGAATCGATCAGTTTAGCGGGCAACTATTTTCGCAACATACCCAGCGGGCTATTTGGCTTGCGGCGAACGCTGAAGTTTTTGAATCTGTCCGAAAATGCACTGAACAGTGAGAACAATGTCTTACGATCTGGGTTCGGAAATGAATTGTCCAACCTGGTACAACTTCAACTACGTCATATGGGGTTGCGTCAAATTGAACCCGGTTCGTTGTTTGGTCTCACGCGGTTGGAACTGTTGGATTTGAGTGAGAATAAGGTGGTTCTGCTGTGTATATTTTGCAGTGGTTTCATTTTTCACATTGTTATTCCATTACTCGTGGTTTGCCTAGTGTGCGAACTTGAACAATGCGTTTACAACATCAATCATTATTAACAAATGAAAACGGATATGCATTATCCTATTTGGAAAATCTTTTCTTTTGACAGTCCATTTTTTGGTCACTCTCATCCATCGGGAAATTGATTTTACATAAAAGGACGAATATAAGTGTTATTAATATGATGATTGGTTCGGTTGTGGAATGTTAGGAAAGTAAGAATAGCTGGATAGACTAGAAATAGTTGTTTGTTTTTAGTGAAAGCTTGTTTTCCGTGTTTTTCGGCGGAACACACGATAAAACCAGAGAGGGTGGGGAAGACCGCCTCTGAGTAAACAGCTGTATCTAAGCCCCGCCCTCACTATCTGTAAACATGTGCTTGTGTGATAAACAACAGAAACTGTAGATCGCTATTTGCTCATTGCGTCTAAACGATAAGCCTGAGAACTGGAAACAGTAAATACTAAAGATTCCAATCGGGTGGCTCAATAAAATCAGAATTTTGGTTTTGGCTAAGTTCGTTTGGTTTAGAGTCTTTTCCGTAAAGTACACACACAATCCTCAGTTCATCCAGTGGACCATACACTCGGAAGCTTTAGACTCGAGTTTCGCACTTATTATATCTCATCAGTAGTGCATATCTACCTTCCGGGGTTTGAAGTACGGACCCATTGAATGGGGGGGCTCGGTTTTAATGATTCCGAGTGTACGGTTGACCGACTGGACTGTGAATCGTGCGCGAAGTTGAGGTCCGATAGATGGTTAGTTAAAGTCAATGAATATGGATGGATTAGTCAATTTATTACAACCAAGATGAACACTCGGCCCGATGCTAAAGTAACAATCATCTTCTTGCATCCATGGAAAAATATAGTGCACCATCTATCCCCGATTCGTGTATTTCGAAGGCTAGACAAAAAGTCATTTTCACTGGCTTATTGATCAACGAGATAGTGTGATTGACAGATAAAGCTACCAAATCACTGTTATTATAAGAGAATCTCCTGCGAAACTGGACTCAATAAACTACAGTGTAGACCTCGGGATGATTATAACTGATGGTTAGAGACCACTGAGTGATATGGCTGAGTGTCATAAATAGTGGCGTTCGTGCATCTTGTCAATTTCTCTGCAACATTAGAGCAATGAAATTCTAAATTTTCCCTTTGATCCTACCCTCAACCTTTCCTGTCTTTCTTTTACTGCATCATTCAAATGGGCAGCCAAAAGACAGCAACTAAAACTGGCGCACGATAGTGGATCGTTAATGGTTGTACAAAATGAAAAAACTGAAACGTGGTTTAACTTGTGGTTACGTCTATTTGCTCTAACGTATCGGTGATGTCAGTCAGTAAAACAGAGCATCGGCTCTCACTGAAGCTTTGCGAGGCCGTTCCTGTGAGCCCAAGTCTTTGTGATGAGAATTTAACTCAGAGTTTATTTGGACGTCACTTGTGCTACTACTTTTACGAAGAAAACACATTAGACGCAATCCGGTTCATCGCGCGATTCGATAGTCGACGATTTGTTGTGGAGACTTTCATCCAGAGAATCACATCAAAGCTACGCATCCCGAAGAAGGTTCTGACGTAAATCATGTTACCCTGGTAGGTTGAATCTTGACTCAACACCATCTTTCTACCCTCGTTTATACGCAATCCATTTCCTTGAATACGCATCCCACTTTCCTTCCCTCCTCATTCCTTCGTCAACTGGTTCACACCGTTTTCAGTCGCAGCCCTCAGCTTCCCTGGTTATTTCATCCCGTAACCCGCATTCATTTTCGAATCCGCTACTTTTCGGAGTGCCTCTTCGTGATGAACCTCTCATGTTTGCGTCATAATGCACAATGTGCATTACCAATCCATTGAAAGTGTTTGAAACCAGTCAAAATCAATTCTTCCCCCGATGATTTTTTTCTGTCATAAGGCGAATGAATGCGGAAGTATATTTCATATACAACACTTTACTGAATGTATTTTCCAATCAGTTTTATGAAATTCACGAAAGGGATGGACATTCTGTTATGATACACTATCTACTCAATTACTTCAGAGAATGACACTGATCGCCTCAAATCTCTCTCTGGGATGGCACAACAAATATCAACGAATCTGCGGGAGCACAATGCTCTGTGAAACTCCGCAGACATTCCACGGTGTCCTCGAACCTTAAACGACATCAGTCGGAAGGGCGAATCCATCTACAGCCATTTGCCCTTCCCCGGGCACCACCCCAGCCACGCTCCTTTATTCAAAATTAATTAATTATTTCATAGATTGACGCAATTAGAATTATTTCCTAAATATGTGAAGGATCTGAAGATCAGAGCATTTATTAAAGCGTATCTCATCTCAGCGTTCTTTTCACGTAAATCGGATGTAAAGTTAATGCAGTTCGATGTGCGTCTAGCAATCTGAGCAAAACGTTTCCGTGCATGCAACACAACTGAACACCTCCTCAAACGTCATTTGACACCAACCAAGCTCTCACTAAGAAGGCAGAAAGAAGTGGGGGAGAAGTGTGCTAGTGTTCGGTCTCAATCCGATCCAGCCAAGGTGATCACTCAAAGTCGATTGTATGGCAATCACGTAACGGTCCGTTCCCGTCCCACTCTTCTGCATCATTGACCAAGCAATGGATTCATCAAGATATGGTATCGCGATCATTTTCCTCGTATCCCTATTCAGTTAGTTAGCCTATTTGGCTTTTCGTCCGTCACTTAGGTGAATATTTTGTTCACGCGGGTTAAAAGAAAACTGAACAGTTTCAACGTATGCACACGCGTGTATGACCATGCGAATCCACTCTATTACGGAAGCCGGTGTCGTCCCGCGGCCGATGGTTTTTGTCATCGTGATGCTGATGGTCGATGTGATACATAGATGGTGATGATGATGATGATGATAGGAATGCATAGCGTGAGACGATATCTGTTACTTCCTTGCAAGAAACTGTTCTCCACTGATGAATATAATGTGTTTTGTTGCCTTTCATATACACAGATAATTCGCCTTTACCATTCTAGAGATAACCACAAAAAGAACTTGAGAAAAATTGGCACAGCGTATTAAGCCAATCTAATGAAGTTTTTCAGTATGATCACTTTTATTCCGGTAGATTGATTTCATATTCGCATAGGTATCACAAATGCATTCTCGGCCAAATGGGGGAAACAGTCAACCAATGACAGCCGTTAGGTGTACCTAAGCACTAATCAACCATATAATTTAACAAGAAAACGTTTTCCGAAAACAAAAACTTTAACGTTGATCATTTGGATCTCCGTGCTTGAGAACTCGGATGTGGCTAATGAGGTTAGCTTCCGGTTTCCCCTCGAGAGATCCCTGTTACTTGACACTTTACTTTGAAATTAAAAAAAAAATAAACAAAGCATCCTCATTGTTCCCCGGTACCCACTTGATCTTCATCATCCCCGTGTCAATCGATCACATCAGCTCAGCTCCATTCCGGATGAAATGGACACGTTGATCGCATTGTGCTCGTTTAATGTGTCCGAAAATCGGTTGACCCAATTGCCTGATTCACTGTGCCGATTGAAACACCTGAGGAACCTGAATGTCAGTCAGAATCGGATCAACGCGTTGCCAACTCGTTTGTACCGATTGAAACAGCTGGAACAGGCACACGTGTACGAAGGGTTGAGCTGGAAAGGATTGTGGATCATTGGGAATCCGTTAGAAAGTATACCGAAATCGGTGTGGCAATCAACTAGCACAAAAGGGTTGTGGAAATATTTGCAGGTAAACCGTTCCGTTTTGTGCATTGAAATGATTTCAATAACTTTATCTGCATTTTCGCTTCCCCCCACCCAATCATAATTGTCTCTATTGTTTATGGTTCTAATCTACAAACTCATTGAGGAAAAAACATAAATAAATTCTTACTTAAATCAAATTTTATGTATAGTTCACTCACATTGACCGGAGCCAAGAGTCACACAGAGTAACTGAATGGGATTGAGATTATTTTTGTATGCGTAACTATTCAATTTTAACCGCGGGAATACCACTACACGACGATTCTCATTCAAATTCAATTTGTTCTAAGTATTCATCTTTCAGATTGAGAACCACTACTCCGTATATAAGAGATTAAGCAGAATAGATGTCTCCCGTCTTCCAGGTTGGGGTCCAAAAGACTCTGCAACTGGTTGGTTGGATACACTGAAGGTACCAAACCGACAGCAGTGACGTTCTTGTGATCATTCCTTATCATGTTAGAAAGCTTGAAACATTATGTGTACATAGTTCGACCATAGAGGTTCACTTTCTTCGCCTCCTTCCAATTATACCCAATCCCTCTCCATCTTGTGCTTTATCACTTGATTTGTGTGCATTATGAGCTCAGCAGCGACCAGTGAATTTCGCTCCACTGTATCTCGCTGTTCGATGATGATGATGATGATGATGATGATGATGATGATGATGATGATGATGATGA